CATTATGCAAAAATGTATGACAAAGTGAAAAATTTTCATGTGACACATTTTGTCATTTAGGACTTCAGACTAAATTTGTTATGTTGGTATGACTACACAAGGAAATTTAATTTTTTTTTTTTGACTAACCAATTTCATTTAGATTCTTTTTCTTTCCATCACTTTTCTTAGTAGATATCCCAATTAACTGTGAAATCCAGCAAAAGTCACCCATGAAATAAAAAAAAAATTGTTTGTACAGAAAGTAAGGACCTAAGCACAGTAAATTTAAATTAAGGCAGAAGAATTATCATTGAACTTTTAAAAGGTAAGCTTAAATGTTAATGCAATACTTAAATGCAGTGATCAGTTTTGCATATCACATCTACTTCTCCCTACCTATTGTGATGAAGGTCCAATCAAGAGCCCTATATAGATAAAATATTAATTCCATAAGTGGTTAGGATAATCTAAGTAGGTCTTTTTAATATAAAATATTAACAAGATAGATCCATGAAGAGAGCTCAATGTATCAGAATACAGAGCAATATAATATACATCAAGAAGGAAAAAACTTAACATCATCAAGGAATTTGGTAATAAATTTATTTTGAGAGATAAATTTTTAATATCTGCCTTATCAGACTGACATTGCAAAATGGTTTGAATTTATCCAGACAATTTATCAAAATTATTTTAAAATTAAATCACAAGAGAAAAGAAAGTAAATGTCTAAATTATTTGACCTAGAAAAATTTTTCTGGGGATTTACATTATTGAAGAGAGGAGTGGAGGAAAAGAAAAAGGAGATGCAAGGTGTCAGCACAATGAGCAGGGAAGTACAAGTGATAGCTAGTGAAATACATTGAAATTAAATAAAAATTTATATCCTCATAATCTAATCTATGTCAATGTAATAACAATCATCATCATATATGTAAAAAAAAGAGTGAAACAATAAATAATATAATATATAAAAAGAACCTTAGGACTATTTGCATATGGATTATCTGTTCTACTTAGTTTCAGAGTAACCATTATTTTTGATCAAAGTGTATTGTTCTTTGATACTTCTGCTGAAAATTAGCATGTAATATATTAATGCACCGGGAATTGTTTTTGCCAAACAAAACACACACAACACAACAGATACAACACGCACACAAGCACACACATACACACATATATACACATGCGCGCATGCAAGCACACACACACACACACACACACACACACACACACACACACACACACACACACACAGAGTCCTAATTCCTTTAGATCAGACCTCAGGTCTATAAATTAAAGATGCAACCTAATAACCTTATTATGATTAAAAGAACATTCTTCACAAAGAGTAGACATTTTGCTTTTTACCTTGGTAGAAATGTAAAATATAAAACCAAAAAAAGAAAAAAAAATATAAAGAAACCCAGAGCTAGCCCACCCTACCACCATGTTAGTGGGAGTGTGATCAAGATCTGAGAAATTCAAATCCGACTCAATAGCGTCAAATAGAATATTTTAACTGTATTTCTTTTTACTTGATCAAAGATTCCATCAAGTGCCAGTCCTTAAATCTAGTTATCCTGTTACTTTTGAAGTTACTTTTTTATTTTAATTTTTTTGATTCTTACCAGTCAATTAGTCTTATCAATATTTAAATTTATTCTGGTACTAAAACTCTTTCTCGAAGCAAACTTTTCATTCTGGTTAAAGTTATAAAAATAAAAAAACAATCCAACCTTAACTGCAGCATGTCAAGACTGGCCAGCATTTGCTTTCCTTTGGAGCAGATGTTAAAACGTGTCTTTTCACCTCAGTGGTCTTCAGGCACTGGAGGCACAGTGGAGTAATGGCTAGTGGCTCAGATTGAAGAATTAGATAGCCAAGTTAAAATTCCAGTCAAATCCATTACCTTCACTTATGTGCTAATGCCCTTAGGAAAGTTATGAATCCTCTTCTTCTCCCTCCCAGCTATGGGTAAATAGCAGGACAGACCGAGTTCTATAGCCTTGGATGTAACTGATCTACTGCAGAAAGAAATGGCAACCTACTATGGGAAAAAATCTGCCTCGTCAGTCATGTATCAAAAGATACACGATTGCCTAAGCGTGTATTACACATGGCACATAACTAAACTGACTGGTCTTTTGTCAGGTGCCTAACTTTGGCTCTTTTTCATTATTATCAGATAAATGGACTCATCTCTTCCTACCAGGGATCTTATCAATCAAGGGGAGATAACATATGTTTCATAAAAGAGAAGATAAACATGCAAAAAACATGCATACAACATGCAAAAAACAAAAAAAATATGATTTTCTAAAATGTACAAGCAATTTTACTCCCTATGTTTAGGTTGCTACAGTAGTTTTTTTTTATAGTAAGGTTCACCCTGTACAAGGCCCAGGGGCCATTCAAGGTAGAGGGTTATGTTAAGGGATAGTTTATATGGATAGAAGGGGGAAGATAAGGGTTAACTTAAGATTGTAGTGATCAGGGAAACATCCTCTTGGGAGTTTGTTCCACAGAGCAATGGTTCATGGGAAGAAGCTGTTTTAGTGGAACTTACTCCTTGCTGATGGAATATGGAGTTAATGTGGGTGGTTTGCGACCTATCAGAACCAAGGAATGTAGTTTGTCTGAACACTTTTCATGGAATTAGCAATAGAGCAGTGAGTGGCTCACCACCTCCCGTCTGCGAGAGAGAGAGCGATTGCAGGGTGAAAAATAATTCTTCTTCAACAAACTTGGAGATGATTTTGGATTCTATCAGGGTTGGAAAATGATGATTAGGCAGATCCTGTCCAAATATGACAACAGTACTTCCTTTTCGGCTTGGTCTGGCTCTTGTAAATGTAGTGGATGGCATAAGGAGTTAGGAACTTGCTGGAGCGATACAGAAAGCCGATCATTGTGCCTGGATCTTTAGTGATGGATCACATATAAGAGTTCCACTTGAAGTCAGGTGTGAGTTTGAGGCCCAATAGTCTCTCAAGGTGTAGTGTCTCCTCAAGGGGACATCCATTCACCATGTTCAGGGTCTGATCGATGATTTTTAGCATGGTTTTGACAAAATCTTTGATTCATATAAATTCATAGCATTAATATTCAGCTATGAAAGTGAATTCGGTTTCTTTCTATCATCTCGTTTCGTTTTTAACTAAATTCTCTATGGCAGCATATCAGGTTTGTGTAAAGGTTTCCAACATTTTATGCCCTAAATGTTTAAAATTTGTTATAATTATAGTGAAAGGTGTTCAGTATCAAAGATAGAGTTCTTGTAGAGATAAACAGTGCACACATGATTTATATATATATATATATATATATATATATATGAAAAATTTCTCAGAGTTAACCTGTAGAAAAAGACAATATGTATAAAGGTAAAAGACAACAGGAAAACTGTATTATTTGCCAACGCATTTCATCCAATGTGAACTTTTTCAAGGCAAAAACGAAATGAATTTATTGAAAACAAAGTAACTATTAACAACAAACAAAATGTCCTTAGCAACGAGAAAAATTTAGAAAATGCTATTTTTATTTCAACTTTCTTTGAACAGACATTATTTTAATGTTGACATCAACTTCAACGTTTTATAATCTGAACTGTCAGTGTCCCAACGAGTTACATGTAGTCTAGTAAATAATTATAATTAAAGATAATTAATTATAATAAATAAAAGACTTACTCCATTGTTGAACTTAATTCATTTCATTACACTTAACCAGACTAGACAATGTCATCTTCCGCTTTAAATTTAGATACCCCAACCTTACCCTGACTTGACGTCTTTGAATGTAACTGATATATTGATACAATTATTAACCCTTACGCCCCTTTTCTTTAAATAATTGCTCTAGCCGTTACCATAGTAATTTTGATTTTAATAATGAATATGCTTATAAAATGCGTAAATTTCAGGAATTAGTTATTCAAAAAAAAAATTTCGCTTGAAAATGGAACAGAGCTTGGTACTTTAATTCAATTTAATTCAAATAATTATATTGAAGTTTTCAGCTCTTGTTTTGAAACATGAGAACTCTTATGTAGCGTTGGAATCATATTTTTAAATAAATAATTATCTATATATATATATATATATATATATACTAGCTGAGATGCCTGGCATTGCTCTGGTGTACATGGTTGCAATTGTATAACTGCACCCACTGTATACCCACACCCTCCTGTCTAGAAATGTCTGTCTGCATCCCCGCTTGCATGCATCATCCACTGGTATATTAAGGAACTCCCCCCTCATTTTTTTTATTGTATGTCCTTCACAAGTGTTTGATTGTTCTTAATAAAGGAATTTCATCAATAAAACTTTCTTGTGTGGTCATTGTCTGATGTTAAATTGTTTCAATGTTTTAGATATGAGTTATGACATTCTCGTTCACTTCTGTTGTTTGTCACAGTGCTTGGAAGGAATGTGTGCAGAGTGTGCTTGTCTCACCTCACCATACCACAGAGGTCCTATCAGTGACCATGGTTTGTCCTGTAGTTTTTGACCAAGATTAACATTCCCCATGTCTGAAAACCATCACCTTTCCCAGATATTGCCCATTGCAACTTTTTCCTCTTCAAAAATCCGCAAGATTACAAGACATTGAGGAAATCCAAGAGAATACAACGAGGCAGTTGCTCGCTATTCTAAAAAGGTGTTCCATGAATGGTTCCATAAATTGAAATGATGCTGATTAAAGTGTGTGGCTTCAGAAGGGGACTACTTCAAAGGAGATTAAATGAAGAATTGATGTATGTTGTAGTTTTCTTTTTATAGCACCAGTCCCAATACTTTTTGATCTGACCATATATAAGCGTGTATGCATGTGTGTATGTGTGTGTACATATGTTTGTTTCTCTGTATGTATGTAGGTATGTATGTGTGTATGTGAGCATGTATATGTGTATGTATGCGTGCATGTACAGATGTATATGTTTGCTCAGTACATGTTTGCATTGCCTATGTATGTTTTACTCTGCTTTTCCACATTTTTTAGTGAAGATGACTTCAGTTCCTGAGAATATTCCTAAACTCAACCTTTATAATTTTGAAGAACCACAGTACGAAGACTGTGACTATGTCCTAACCAGTCCCCGATCATTGGAAGCGTGTTCAAGGCTGAATATCAAGGTGAGTTTTTTTTTTTTTTTTTTTTTAAGCATTTCACCCTAAGCAAGGTGAGAAGCCACTAGGACGCAAGGGGTTACAGAAAATTTGGAGCAAGGTCAGATAGGAGTGATAGAAGAAAGGATGAGGAGAAGGGTAGTGGATAGATCAAGGCAGCTGGAGATGTCAATTGACATTACATTTGAATAACTGGAGATTATAGCTCTCAGGGAAACTGGAATAGGGAAGGGAGTTCATGGAGTAGAAGAGACGGCTACATTTAGAAGTTTCGACAGTGAAAGTGTGAGAGCAGGATGCCAGCCTCGTAGGGCATTTGAACTCATGAAGTCTGGGAACCAGCAAATGCAGCTCCTCGAAGCAATTGCCATGAAAGTATTTGTAAAACAGACAGAGAGAGGCAATGGCGCGTCTGTGAGAAAGTGACTGTAGACAAGATGCCAGAGCAGGGCCAATTATATTGCATATCTGCCTCTGGAGCCTATCAAAAACCCCGAGTCAAACAGAAGGGGCTCCAGACCATATATGGCAGCAATACTCCATGCAAGGGCGAATTGTTGATTTGTAGATCTGGAGGATTGATTCCGGGGAGAAAAATTTCCTGGCACGGCACAGGGAGCCAACTTTCCTTGCGGTGGACAAAGCAATTGACTCAATGTATTTGTTCCATCTCAGGTCAGCAGTCAATGTGAGACCGAGCAGCCGCAGAGAGGTGCTCTCGAGAAGTTGAGCGTCAGACATTCTAATGGAGGGCAGGGAAGGATCTCTGTGGTGATTAATAGAGAACTATTTCCACGCTTGTTGTCACTGAAATTTTATTGCATTTTCTCGTTAGTGAGTACCATCATCATCATCTGTTCCTTGGCTACTTTAACCGTTGAAGGGACCTAAGGGTAAAAGAAAGAAACAGATAACCTCCTTCAGGATGATTTGTTGGTGGTGGCTCTCAGGAGGTCCGGCATTATCATGTCTGTCCACTCTTTGAAGATGTCTGACTAGCTTTTGTGTTTGCCGTTGCCACTTGTGTCCGCTTTCAATAATGCCTTGCATGATAGTCTTGCAAAGGCAGTTATGTCGTGTGATGTGGCCAAACCATAACATCTTCCGAGGCTTAATAGTGGCAAGGATAGATTTCTGTCCGCTCAAAAGACTTTTTACCTTGCTCTGTATATGGTCATTGGTTTTGTGCTTCCAATTAGAGATGCAGAGGGTGCTTTCTCAAGCATTTGTTCTTGAACACCTGGATCCTTTTTACTGCCTCCACCAGGTGTGTCCAAGCCTCACACACATAGAGGAGGATGGATACAACCAGCAATTTGTAGAGCACGAACTGGCCTGGAAGCTGATGTTGCTCTTCCATATCCTTTCCAGTCTGGTCATCGTTTCTGTGGCTGTGGTGATCCATGTGTGGATTTCTGTGTTTCAGATGCCATCTTTCGACGTGATTGCTCCCAAATATTTGAAGCTGGATACTTTCTCCAGCAGTTTGCTGTCCATCGCTACACTGGCACCATTAATTTGAATTTCTCTGTGTTGAGTTTCATTCCATATGTACCAACTCTTTCAACGGGAAAGAGTATAATACCCATAAAAAATGGTAGAATTATTGATGTCTGGGTTAGCACTTCTGGCTTGGATCAGTGTGTTTTGACTAGTGATATAAATAGATGCACTCTAGAAGTGCAGTCTTTGTGCATTATATGAAATGTTTTAGACATGCAATGCATATCACTATATATAATTGTGCATTTGTACAGTAGTTCTTCTTTAATACATATTTCATTCAAAATGAAGGACCAGATACTTCTGTTAAGTCTTTTAAATGCATTTTTCTTGTATACAAACAATAGATGATATTTTCGGACTTGGTGTGTATGAAGACAGAATGCATGATTGTCAGCAAAAGGGACAGCCCAACATGCAAATTACAAATTGGGGAGGCCAAAATCAGACAGGTTCAACAATTTAAATATCTGGGAAGTGTTTTAACAGAGGACAGAAAGTGTGATGCTGGAATCCAAAAGCACATTGGGGTAGCGAAAGATTGCTTCCAAAAACTATGCAAAGTATTAAAAAACAGGAAAACTTCATTAGAAAAAGTACTGAACTGTTACATGATATATGTCCTGCTATATGGTAGTGAATGTTGGGCAATCTCATAGATGAAGAAGAGACTTGAAGCAAACTGTGTTTCTACAGAAGGATGTTGAGGATATCATGGACTGGACATGTGAGCAAGGACGAGGTTTTAGAAAAAATGGAAACAAAAAGGCCACTTATACTTAACATCAGGAGGAGATAGTTGAAATTTTTAATGAAGAAAGAGGGCTTGAAAATATTGATACTCAGCGAAGATTGATTTGTTTGTTTGGGTTTTATGGCATATCAACCACTGTGGGTTATTTAATGCCAAATCCAGTTTATATATATATATATATATATATATATATATATATATATATATATATATATAAATATATGAATTTTAAATGCCTATTTAGTATGGAATATTTTTAGCAACCTAGAGTTTATTTGCTTGCAGACTGCAAAATAATCCTAGGTATTTAAAATTTAAGTCAAGAATTTCCATTTGATTGTTGATTGTTTTGTTTAACGGCATCTCAACCAAATTAGTGGTCACTTTATGCCGAAAATGATTTTTGAGTGACTTTAAAAGTCAAAAACGTATAGCTGGCAAAACATTATGATTTAAAAACTTATAGCTGGCAAAACATTATTCTTTCAAAAACGTATAACTGGTGAAAACATTATTTTTCCAAAAAACGTATAGCTGGCAACATTATTGTGGAAAAAAACACATGGCTGGCAACATTATGGTTTCAAAAAAAAAGTATATATAAAAACATTATTGTTTCAAAAACTTATAGCTGGCAACATTATGGTTTCAAAAACGTATAGCTGAAACATTATTTTTTACAAAAAAACGTATAGCTGGCAAAACATTATTTTTTTCCGAAAACATTATCTGAGGCCTTGCTGTTGGAAATAGTTTATCGCCATACCCAGGACACGGATAAAGTTTATCGCCATACCCAGGACGTGGATGTAGTTCATCGTCATACCCAGGACGTGGGTAAGATCTGGAAAAACTAGGAGTTCACTATTTTCCCATATCTGGGACCCTAACAAGTGCTACCACCCCGGGTCAAGGTGGACCTGGGAACACCAGCAATTAAGAGGTGGTTCCACGCTCCTCAAAACCTCCTGATCAGAGGCCTTGCTGTTGGATGCAGTTTAATGTCATACCCAGAACGTGGATGCAGTTTAACGTCATACCCAGGACATAGGGAAGATTGAAGGCAAGAACGACAGAGGAAAACAACATATGACCTACCCAGTGAGACTGGTGGTGGCTCTGAGGAGGTCCAGCATTATCAACTCTGTCCACTCTTTGAAGATGTCTGAATAGCTTTTGTGTTTGCCGTTGCCGTTTGTGTCCGCCTTCAATAGTGCCTTGCATGATAGTCTTGCAAAGGCTGTTATGTCGTGTGACATGGCCAAACCATAATATTTTCCAATGTTTAATAGTGGCGAGGAGAGATTTTTGTCAGCTCACAAGATGGTGGAACAAGGTTTAGGAGCGATAGCAAAAAGACAAAATTTATAAAGAGTTACAAAGGACAGGAAATTGAGCGATGATTGCTTAGATCCTGAATCAGCACATGCATAGAAGACAAAGAATGAGCTTGAGTAAATGGATGGCAGAGAAAGGTTTAGGAGAGATAACATTTATGAAGCACTACAAAGGAGAGGAAATTGTGGAGAGCCATGTTCACCAACATCATGAAGGGAGACAGCACATTAAAGAAGAAATGTCTAAAAATTTCCCAAATAATTCTTTGGAGTCTTTTCAGCTAAAATATTAACTATTTTTAAGGATTTAGGTTGTTCTATTATAAATGGTATGTAAGTACTATTTTAAATGGTGTCATTGAAAAGTAAACCCATTTTTAATTTGCAAATACTGTCAGTTCAATATGGTCATATTCATATTTGATGTTGTTAAGTGTTTTTCATTTGTTTTATATGATAATGGCTTCAATTGCTTTTAGATGCTTTTTGCAGTTGGAGATTTGCATCATATTTATGCTGTTGAAAAGTATATATATATAGAGAGAGAATGTATTTAGTGTATTGGGGCAGCAGATTATTATTTAAACATTTATTATTAAATATAACAGACAATGAATGTCTATTATGTCTAATCATGAGCCGTTCTAATGTTCGAATGTTTGCTTTAATTTCTGATGAAAATAAAGACAAAAATTGTCAAACATTTGGATATTTTTTATTAAGTTGGTCCTAAGCTTTCGGCTTACATGAGCCATCCTCAGAGTGGTTATACAGACATGAAACAAAGTATCCTATCCACCATCAAAGATGATATTTTGTTTTTTTGACAAATTGCTATGCGACAATAAACGCCGGGGAGTAGCAGACAAAGATTGTAAGTTCAAGATGCAGTTTTATGACATCATGTTACATGACAGACCGAAGTATTACAACAGAACCAACATCTAGCTGCAATGTAATGTGTTGTGATTAGTTTAAAATGTAGTTTTGTTGAATGTGGGTTGCTTTGTTTTAATGTAGATGGTTTCCAATATCTGAAAGTTCTTTTTTACTGTGTGTATGTGTAAGTATTATTGTGTTATCAACTAATATCTGTCTAATATTATGTACCTGGCTATGTTTATCTAAAAATGTTGCTCATGATCAGACATTCATTGTCTGTTATATTTAATAATATGTTTAAGTATATATATATATATATATATATATATATATATATATATATATATATATATATATATATATATATATACATGAATTATTCACACAAAGCTAATGCAAAGGTTAATGATTTAAATGGCGAGAAATCCATCATCGCAAACAATTCAAATAGTACACAAAAACCTCCAGATCCGTTATGAATGAATTGATCCTTGTTTATATAAATTTCTGCCGTATTAGTTGTTATTTTTACTACAAGCTTTCGTTTTATTGTGAAAACATTGATTCATCTCGTAAAATCTAATATAGTGTATAATTCTCTCATCACCAGTGAACTGAATTTGAATTCTGTTTGAGTTTGTTACAATGTCTTTTGCCCAAGGTATGAATTCATACCTTCTTTTACCAGCTTAAATAGCAGCATTTTCTGGGCATCTTCTAGCCTTGATTGGCATCTAGTCTAGGAGTAAGACAACTCTGATTTCAAACCATATGTAGCATTGGCAAGTTGCATACTATACAGCCATTGAAAAGATTATGGAGTCCAAAATTAACTATTATACGTGTTTGTGGATTGTATAATTTTGAGTGAGGTCGAATAAAATTAAAAAAAAAAACTCTCCTGTTATATATAATTTTCTCTGGCTTATATAACCGACTTCACAGAAAGCCATGCCAAGTTATGATGCATAAAATAAAAAAATAAAAAAGAACAAGTGGCCAGGAGAGACATTGCTTAACTTGCTCCATAATACTGCTTAGTACCCAGATTAGGATAATCCTTACATTTTAGAGAGATAATCTTCCAATTATCCTTCTGAGTTTTGCTCGGTTTTTCATTTCGTGATTGGTTACATTTTAATTAGCTAATCAATTATTTCAATCAATAAGCAAAAACAATTGTATTTACCTGCAAACAAGCTTCTCAACTATTTTTAGTAAATTAATTTTCCTCTCCTGACTGCTAAAATTTAGCGTCTGCAAAAGGCATCACAGTATTATGTAAAGTATGGGGTAAAAATGATCTACAATGTGAAACGACTTTCAGAGATGTCAAAATCAAGTAAGTACAAAAATTTAAAGATCTGAGAAATGTCGATGAAAGAGGATGGAAAGCGTGACACTGAAATCCGAAGTCACATTGGAAGAGCAAAAGATGCCTCCCAAAAGCTAAGCAAAGTATTAAGAAACATGAAAAGTTTAATTAGAAACGAAGAAAAGAATATTGACCTGTGAATTAATAAATGGCAGTGAATGTTGGACAATTTCCTCACTGATGAAGAAGAGACTTGAATCAACGGAAATGTGACTCTACAGAAGGATGCTGAGAATACTATAGACTGAGCATGTGAGTAACAAGGATGTTTTAAACAAAATGAAAACAAAAATGATGTTTATACTTAGAACCAAAAAGAGACAGTTGAAATTTCTTGGACGCATAATGAGAAAAAAGGCTTGGAAAATTTGACACACACAGGGCAATAAGGATAGAGGGAAAGAGCAAATAAACTACCCAACAGACTTTTCTAAATGGATTCCAGAACAAGCAGTAAGAGATTGAACATTGCTAAAACTGCAAAGTTTAGGAAGTTGTGGAGAGCCATAATCAACCACATCCTGAAGAGGCATGGTACATAGAATACAACAAATGATTTTTTCAGAACACTTATGGTGAATATTTAATCATTATTATATGCTTTGCTATTCAGAGCAGCATGTTCATCTTGGTTATTATACTCACAGTGTTTCAACCATTGTACAGTTTGGCCTTCTTCAGGTATCTGTCTTATATGCTTTGCTATTCAGACTAGCATGCCCATCTTGGTTATTATACTTACAGTGTTTCGACTGTTGTACCTTCTGGCCTTCTTCAACTGTCTATCTTATTATATGCTTTGCTATTGAGACCAACATGGTTGTTAGACACACAATGTTTCAGCTTTTGAACCCTATTGCCTTTTTCAGGTGTGTGTCTTATTCTATACATTGATATTCGAACTAACATGCTCATCATGTTATACTCATAAAGTTTCAATAACTGTACCCTATGCCGTTTTTCAGGCATCTATTTTTATATTTGATAAATTTTTTGGAATTTCAAACCAAACACTTTATTCAATCTAATGGGTAGATTATTCCTATTCTACTTTTCCTGCTTCAAGAATATTTCATAGCAATTTAATATTTACCAGTTTATTTATTTAAGTCTATCAGCCCAGGCCTCTAGTGCAACTGTTGTATCCTGTGTTTTTGAGACAACAGAGAGAAATAAATAAATAAGACTTGTAGGTAAGTAATGATATAGCAGGTTTACTACATAAAGTTTCACTTAGCAATTGAGTGAATGCTAACTCTGCTCAACTCCATTTATCTCCACTTATTTATATAAATGGACGATTCCATTCATTTATGTCTTATATGACAGCAATTCATATGTATGATCCATGAGGAAAGAAGCTGGAAAAATGCAGTAGATTTGGTTGGTATTTGAACTTGGCTCACTTTTCAGCAATAATAACAATTTAGAGGAAGAAGCTGTCTGAGTGGAACTTCCTCCTTAGTAATGGAATATGATGGGGATGACAAATTGACTTTTTGTACGTGGCATGGTAGATCCGAGCTGTGAAAGTTTGAGATAGTGGAACTAAAGAATCTAGCTCATATAAACATCTGCATTGAAAATAGAGACAAAATAGCTAGAGGTTAACAACATGTCATCTGTGGGAAAGTGGTCGTAGGGTGGAAAATAATTCATCACCCACAAGGATGCATAAACTCTTTTGAACTCTGTCTAGAGCCCATATACTATTTTTAATCTCATCTTAGTCTTCTATATTTAGAGCATGTCAGAAGGAGTCAGGTACTTTCTGAGGAGACACAAGGAGCTGACCATTTTTCCAGCATCTTCATAGTTGAGTTCCACTTAAGGTCTGAAATGAGCTTGACCGAAAGATGTTAAAGGCAAAGAGCTACATTGAGGCATTCATCATGACTGGAAAAACACTCAGAGGCTTTTGAACATGTCACTTTGAAACACCAGTTCCTGTACGATCCCCGAAGTTAAGCAATGTCGAGCCTGGTCATTACCTAGATGGGTGACTGCTTGGGAATACCAGATGCTATAAGTTTGGATGCACAGGTCATGTAATGGATAATGGCTCAGAATTGTTAACCAGAGAGATAAGTTCCAATTCCAATTGGGTTTGTTATATTCACTTGAGAAAGGTATGAATCCACCTCTTCTCTCTCCAGCTATGGATTAATTAGTAAAACTTGTATCACAAAACCATTATCTCCGCACAAAAATTATTCCAATCTAAAAATATTTTCTGGCTTTAAATGACTCACAAAAGGTTGATAAGCCATAGAAAACAAATCAATCAATCAATGAAATACTGATTTAGCTACACAAGCATGACTTTTAATTTATTTATATTCTCTGGAATATAAATGTATAGAAACTACCATGGGCAGAAAGTGAGGGCTCAGTTTATATATTGATTGTAATATGGAACTGATCCCCTACTTTATAACCATATTATAATTTCTTTGTTGATCAAATTCTGATTAGGGATGAATCCACCTCTTCTCTCTCCAGCTATAGGTTAATTAGTAAGACTTATTTTCCCCTAAAAATATTCCAATCTAAAAATATTTTCTGGCTTTAAATGACACATTTTGCAGGGGAGGGGCATATTCAACAAAAATCAAAAATTATTTTTTTAACTGCAAATTATTCATTATATCATATCCAAGTATTTTACAAAAAATTAGAACCGATTACACAATATTTCAAGTTCACTTTAGGTTTATGGTTTATAATTCGTAACCATGTATTGCGGGCCAGTGTGTGTACATGTGAGATGAACATGTGTGTCTCCTGAAATGGCCCACAACAAAACATGGCAGACTTAGAGATTAAATCCACTATAAAGAAATGTAATGAAACAACATGAACCAATATATATGTATAGACAAGTAATAATGTATTAACAAAGGTTACAAGTTACAAAGACAACAATGTGTGTGTAACAAATTAATGTGGAATGTTCGCGTTTCAAGTATATGTAAGTGAATGTTTGTACGTGTGTGTGTGTGTATGTGTGTGTGTGTGTGTGTAATATTCATGGTGCTTCACGAAGGAAATGCATAGCACCCCCACCACAAAGGGGAAAGCACAATCTTCACAAGAGATTATATTGTTGTAGTGTCAGCTGAAAAATGAGAAGAGAGAGAACGAGACAAGATCTTGCAGAGTATATATAGTATTCGAGCATGCCTCCAAGTAATGGTTTCAAAATTGTCAGAGGAGGTAACTCTGACACATGCAATGAGATAAGGTAACATAAACTATAGATTTGTCTGCGAAATATCATTACATTATTGTTACATAATTATAGTGATATCATTAAGAATTTTTGTCAAAAACATTTTATATTTGGTTGTATGTTAATTTAAAATATCCCTTTTTACAGACTTTATTTTTGAAATGGAATAAGAGCAATCTAAATTTCAGAATTTCATTATTGTACATCAAAATGACTTGAAGAAAGTGACCTAAAAACAACAATGGAAAATAGAGGTAAACAAAGCATAAACGAAATAGCTCCAGTTTGTTCAACTTAGAAAACTTAGCATTGCAGCCAAATTATTTTAAAATGCTGCCAATAACAAAGGAGAAAATGAAAAATAACTAACAAAAAATCGAATATAGCATCAAAATTTATATTATTTTATTTATTTGTTTGTTATCTAACTAAATACATAATTGTCAACGCTGTTTATGTAAAACTTGATATTTCCTGTAATAAATTCTTAATAAATATTATAATTGTTATTATTTTACTTAAGTGTAAGGTAGTCCTATTTACAATTCCTTACAGCTGACCATGAAAAGAAATGTTGATCTGCCTAAAACATTTAAGCGGGTATTGTCACAAAATTATCAAATGTTTAATACACCCCTCCTCTGCTGAACTTGTCAAATAACCTGAAAAGGGTTGAAAATGAATCAATCAATCAAGAACACTTATGATCTGGTTGGTGATAATTAAAGTAACTTGGTTTTTGAGATATTGAATGTTACAAGTCAATTCCTTTATTAATGGTTGGATTCAAAACTGAAGTATCCTGGGTATGACAATAAACTACATCTGGCAGCAAGGCCTCTGATCAGGAGGTTTTGAGGAGTGTGAAACCACCTCTTAATTGCTGTTGTTCCCAGATCCACCCTGACCCAAAATGGTAGCACCTATTAGGGTCTTAACTATGGGCAAACTAGGGTTAAAACACTATAAAAGTATTAAAATAGATTTTTATGATAAAAATACCAACAATATATTTTCATAGCAAAAAAATACCAGCAATAAATTTTTGTAAAAGAAATTACCATTATTTCCAAGGGAATTAAATTTGGGCATTAAATGACCAATAAACCCATAAGGAGTTCTTGATATGACACTAAACAAACAAACAAATCAAAATTAAAGTTTGTGGTTGGGGTAACCTTGTTTTCCATTTCAATTCAATTTTCATATCATATTTTCACATTCTAATTTGTATTTCTTTTCAGCCTGTGGACCTTTTACATAAACCCCTTGAAGAGTTTAAAGAAGAGCTCCAGGAATATGATTTGCAGCCCAGTACCATTTACTTCTTTTATAATGAACACGAAAATAAGCGCCAAAGTTTGTTGAATCTTTTATTTGATCTTTCTTCTCATATTTACAATGTTTAAACTGTTTCATCCTACTTTGCTTTTAATTTTCATTAATTTTGGTTCTAATCATAATGGGGAATGACTGCAAAACACTTGCCCCCTTCCCCTCACCTATTTATAGGCAGAAGCTGAGATTTTTTTTCCTCGTCAATAAAATAGGCCAGTCTTTGGTTTCATCTGACATAGTCCCAGACTATCTTGTCTTGAAGTCAGAATGCTATGCTTGTCCGAACTTGCTTTTGTGTGTCAACCCCAATTCTTACTTTGTGAACATTTTACCATATTACTGTTGCTTTGCCTTTATTACTGTTGCTTTTGCCTTGCATATATTGTTTGCTTGCTTCATATTATTTTTTGCCCTGTTCTTTTCTTTTTTTATTGCTTATTGCAAACTTTGTCAATTCTGTTTGTTGGACAGTTTTGTCACTTATTTTGCATTCAACCATGGCCACTTACTCCATTTTGACCATCCTAATGGCATCATCTCTCAACCTTTTATCTATTCTGATGACAACCATTTTCTCCTGTCTCTATAATAAGTCTTATCAGTTTGATAAGGTCAAAATGGCGGCTGACATCAAAAAGAGGGGCAATCAATGGTTTGTTAAGTTTAACGCCTCCAAAACTAAACTGCTCTTTATTAATCATCCTAGAGACCCTTATCTGCCCTTCATCAGCATGGCTGTTGCTGACCTCCAGGAGAGTGACTTGTTGTACCTTCTCAGGATAATGTTCTTAGCTGACATTAATTGGAAAGACTATATTGAATCCATTTCTAGGTCAGCTGTTCAAGAAAAATTGTTTACTGTGTCATGCTTGACAATTTTTCTCTCCAGAATCTACCTCACATACCTATAAGTCTACCATTCAGCCAAGCTTACAATATTTCTGCCATATTTGTTCCGGTGCTTCTGATATCTATCAAGAGTTCCTTGATAAAATCCAAAAAAGAATCAGCAATATTATTGGCCTTGTTCTGGCGTCTCGGCTTCAGTCTCTTTCTTACCATCATAGGGTTGCCTCCCTGTGCTTTTTCTGTAAATACTTTCATACTTAGCAATGTTTCTGTTTCAAACTCTTCAAATATCCAGTAACCCCTTGCGCCTCAGTGGCTTTACTACCTTGCTAGCGAAAAATTGATTTAAAAAAATACACAGACACACACAGACACACACACACACATATATTAATAGTAAACTATGAGTCATGCTATTTGTGAGGGATAGTATATATATTTATTAATATAGATACTTAATAACTCTGTTGTATTACATTGAGTACTATATATATATATATATATATATATATATATATGGCACCTTTGGAAATTGCCTGAAAACCATACCACAGATTGGCCCAAGCCTTGTGAGTGAATTTGGATAGATGGAACTCTTGTGGGCTGTTGATAGCTGTGCTAGCATGAAGCCACAAGTCATTGTGGCCGAGGGCTTGAGCATACTGGACTTGTTCAAATTGTTGATCACACTAGATTTTTTCTCCCAAAAACTGTAACTAAGGTCTGCTCAGCATAGTTGCAGTATAAACCACAGTTGGGCTCTGTGGGTGTTGAGCAAAACGCAAATATGTCTGACTGTCGATATTCAGTCACCCCCCCACCCCACGAGGGTGTCATGTAGCAGTATATTTTTTAACGTGGGCAGCCGAGAAATTGATTTTAAAAAACATCAAAAATATGCCCATTGAACCTGGGTATGAACGGGTTCATGGAGCCCAATCATTAAACCTCCACCAAGGAGAATCTGCCCTTCGGCGTAGTCTCCTTCGGGTCTTTTCGTCTGTAGGAAGAGAGTGTAACCAAACAGTCGCTCAGAAAGTGAACGACTGACTCCCAAATGTGTCTGACTGTCTGCAACAGGGATTGGCTAGCCACCCTAGTATCCTTGAATACAAGTGGACAGCTATTATTATGACTATATATATATATATATATATATATATATATATATATATGGGGTAATGATATATCAAATTTTATATGTCAAAAACAATTTTGGAGGAAAGATGCATGACAAAATGGAAAAAGGTTTTGTGTGACATGCTTCGTCACATAGTACTTCATCAGACTAAGATTTTTACATTGATACTATTACACGTGTGCATAAACGAGAGACACTGGGAATTTTAAGTTTAGAAAAAATAATTTTGGGAGTATATAATCTAGCCAAATCCATGTAGATTCTTTTTGTTTTTGTATCCACCCCCACAAAAAATATTTAAAAAAAATTTAAAACAGTGAGAACAATAGAAGAGTAATCAGGAAGACAGTAGATAACAATCAACATTGTATTTACATTTCGGAAGATCAAAGTTGACTGGAAAGCATGAAGCAGGAAGAGAGTGGGAAGTGTGAGAGAAGAAACTGTTAACATAGAACTTACGGTTGCATCTAGTCAGTTCAGCCATAAATTGATGAGAACTTGTTGCTAATCTATTCTTCTACTCCCCCATGTGCCTTGTTCTTTCAGGCTGCAGGTGATAATGGTTCTCCATAATTTCCTGCCCTTTGTAGCTCTTAATAAATTTTGTCTTTGTTATTTCTCCAAAACCTATTCTATCACCCAGTTACACAAGCTCACTAAATGTGTTATGCATTGTTTTCCTCTCTCTCACTTGCCGTCAATCTATCTTGTGAGAATCAAATTTTCCAAGCCTTCTTTCCTCATTATGTACCCCAGAAATTTCAGCTGTCTGTTCCTGATGTTAAGTATAAGTTTCCTTTTTGTTTCCATTTTCTCTAGAATGTTGTCATTGTTCATATGTTCCATATGTTATGGGGTAGGTAATGGTTGATGTTGATGTAGTAGTAATCCCGACTTGATATTATTTGTTGAGCGTTGTTAAAGTAATTATCATGTTGCTTAGGAGGAATCCTTTTCTCTTTTTTATATTGAAAACAAAGTGAATTAAAATATACAACAATAATATAAACAATAAAAACTTGAGACACGTGTTGATATAAACAGCAAAAATTTGTATTTTCTTTTGTGATGGGAATTACAGAATATTGGTATGGTGTGTGTAAAAATGTTCTCAGTGTCTCTTTTGTTTAAAAGTTAGTGCTTACTTGATTTGGTTCCGAGAATTTCCTTTGTGAGGATGGCATTTGAAATTGTCTGTTTTCAATATTCCTGGAGTGCTGGCAGATGTGTGTTTCTGTACTGCTACTTGTCTACTGTACTACTGACTACTGCTATGGTTACTCTAGTCTACACTACTCTACTGACCCTATTGTGGTGGAAGGGTACATTTTTATAATGATGAGGGTAGGATGATGAAATATCCTTCTTTTCTATCATCATCATTCAGGGCCATAACACATGGTATCTTCAGTATCCTTCTTTAGAACCACATTTCTGTAGTTTCAAGTCTTTTGAGATTAAGATTCACTGCCATATATGAGGACAGATTAAATTCATAATATGTAGGTACCATAGGAGAAAGTTCATCAGAACGATTCGGTAATTGTATTATAACATACAACATATCTTGTCCCTGTTACTTTCTGCTTCACTAGCAATACATTGTTGTTTTTCTTTTGTTATTCTTACAACCATACGCAGTATACAAGAAAGACATTAAGTGTAAATCCGAAAATCTTTAAAAGTCTAACTTTTCTGTCAAAATTTCAGGTGTGAGTGTTCTTGTTCAAACTGACATCGTATTAATACTGAATTTATATCACAACTTGCCGAATTGTAAATAAATAAGGTTCAGAGACAGATCTAGAAATCCTGTTCAAGTTGGCTTGTCTTGTTCCTTTTTTTATTTCCTTTTTATTTTGTTCTGATATAAAAATAGGAACAAAATTAACCGAAGCCAATGGTCAGCGTTCGCAGTGAGCTAAACAATTTACCCAAATTTGAATATAGACAGGTTACTTTCAGGAGAAAAGATCTTTCCTTTTATTCTTTTTATCTTTAGTCTGTTCACCCTTCCTCAAGGTTAAATTCAGGGATGAGGGTTGGTAGTTTTTCTAAAAAAGAAGATTCCAGATTTTGTTAAAAAGGAATCATGATACCATTTTTTCCCCTTTAAACTTTCTTTGAGATTTATAATATGTAGGCTTTTCTTTGGTAAAAGGAAAAAGATGGAGAATTCTCTCATTCTTATCAAAATAAGGAATGCTAACGATACTTTAATAAATCTGATTATTATCTGTCTATATTTCTGAAATGAGGTATTCTAATTATTTACACTATTTACATTGTTCAGATTAAAAAAAAAGGGTTCAACTTGAAATTGCAGTCACCTGAAGAAGTCTGGAGTGTAAAACAGCCGAAATGTTGTGAATATGATAACAAAGACGAGGACAACAGTCCAAGCAATGTAAATAGTATAAATATGATTAGTAGTTATGTTGAAGACTAGTATTTTAGCTTGTATTTTTTTCTTTCATGGAACTGTGGAACTGACTCCCAAGAGGATGCTTCCTTAATCACTAGTCTTAACCTGTGATAAGACAAGTGATCAAGAAAGCCTTGATCTTAGCCTGTTAAATTAAAATGGTCATCTCCCTGTACTATAACAGTAAGTACCTGACTCCTCTTGTTATCGTCTACCTTTACAAGAGCCAGATCAGGCCAAAAATGGAGTACTGTTGTTATATTTGGGTGGGAGTTGCCCAGACATCACTCTCTAACCTTGACACAGTCCAAAAACGAGTCCCTGTGGGTGATGAATTATTCTCCACCTTCCAACCTCTACTCCACAGGTGGAATGTGGCAAGCCTCTTGCTGCTCTATCGATACTTCCACAGAAAGTGCTTGGAAGAAGTACATTCTTTAGCTTCGCTAGGTCTAACCTTTGCGGTTAGGACTCAGCCTGTCACTTACATAGTAACAAACCACCCACATTCCCTCAGTATTCCATCGTCGAGAAGTAAGTTCCACTTGAACAGCTTCTCCCTGCAAACCACTGCTCTGTGGAAATGCCTCTCAAGAGAACATTTCCCAGATCACTGCAACCTTAACCTGTTCAAGTTTAGGGTTAATTGTTATATTCCCCTCCTATCCACACAAATAGCCTCTTAATGTAACCCTCTACCTAAAGTGGTCACCGGGCCTTGTACAGGTTGAACCTTACTGTAAAAAAGTCTAGGATTAATTGTTTGTCTTTGCCACATATCCACATAAACTGTGCCTCTTACTCTGTAACCCTCTACCTTGAGTGGCTCTTTGGCCTTGAATAAGATGAACATCATTATAAAACATCCCCCAGCCAACACAAAGATACTACCAGACAGAAAAAAAACACCCACTAGACTCACACACACTCCTTATCACCCAAATCCAGCAAGACCAACTAGAAATATGATATACAAACACACAAACAAGCCAACATCTCACTGCTATCTTTAAGAATTATACACACAAACACTATCTACTCCTATAGGTTCAACTATCGCCTGCTTCACACACCTCCCCCATTTAGGATTGGATTTCTAGTTCTTTCTGATGTCTTCTGATTCTTTTTCACTCCCAGTCATCCTGTTGTGTCTTAGTGGCATTATCACCTTGATTAGAAAATAAAACTCCCTTTAAAAAAAAAAAATTAATATCGTTCAAAAATAAGCCGGTGGTCACATTGTCCTAAACAAAATAAAAACTCATTTCAAACAAATCTGAGATATTTTTTTTGTATTCCCTTTGTCACAAAATCTATATTATAAACAAAATTTTTTTTGTCATTGAAAAACCAGACGACATGCTGAATAACAGGTGTCTATGTTTGTGAGCAGACAGCCCCACCCCACTTAAACTTAACCTGACTTTGTAAGTAACATATATTTGATACATACATTGTCTAAGGAAATTAAAACCCAACCACCCCTAATCAAAATAGATTGAATTTTCCTTAACCTTAACAACTCAAAATATTATAAATTAAGTAAATTTCTTAGAACGTTATTCCTATCATCGCTTGACAATGGAAAAAACTCTGGATTTTAAGTTTAATTTTTATAATTAAATTTACAATTTTAGTTTCATTTTTGAAACACAGAACTTTCTGTGTTGTGATGGAATCATATTTTTAAAAAAGAAAATAATTATAATATAACTTATAAACAATATAATAAATATAATATATTAACAATATAATAAAACAATATAATATAATATAATATAAACAATATAATAAATATAATAAATATAATAATATATAAATAATATAACTTATAAACGAAATTTCTTTGATTCTTTGTCAGTCACGCATTGTCTACATGTGACTTTGTCTGCACATATGTAATATTCAGTGTTGTTCGATAAAAGTGACTCACCTAATTTTTTTTACTAAAAATATTTTTGTCTATTGTTTTCAAGGTTAAAATAATTTTTAATCTTACTAATATAAAGACCCCTTCCCAACCACCTGGGAAAAAGTTTATTGACCCTTAGGTATTCTATGGATAATTATAAATTTGGATATAAATGAGATTCAGGAAAAATCTCTGTGCAAAAAAAGTTACTCAGATATCGCATTCTAATGATTAAACTGGTAAATTTAAAGAACCTTTGACAAAATATTGAAAACTATTTTACAATACACTCAGAACAATATTCTAGAGGATTCTAAAACAGCTTAAATTAAATCTAGAGTATTCCAGAATATTCCAGAAAGCCTCATACAGTATAAAAAACAGCACTCAATTCACTAACCAGATGAAAGGGTACAAAAACGCATCAGAACCACTTAAGGCATCTACTATTGCCCTCTCAAAAGCAGGCAAGTCTACAAGAGAAATTGCAGAAATTGCTATAACCTTGCAATCAACTGTCTCTTGAGTGCTTAGGGCACATAATGATGCCACTCCTGCACCAAGGAAGGAAACAAGGGGACGAAAGAAAAAGATTGTTGATAGAACTGGCAGGGTAAACAAGAGAGAAGTGGCGAAGAATAGGACTATAACTAGCCAAGAAATTGCAGCCAGTCTAAGCGAAGAGCAAGGTGTTAGTCTTGCCTCTTCAACAGTCTGTAGGTGGCTGTTAGAACAAGGCTACAAATCTTGTACACGAAGGTTTAAGCCACTAATAAGCAAAGCCAACAAAGCCAAGAGACTTGAATGGGCTCACTATTACAAAAATTTCACCGTAGAAGACTGGAAGAATGTTCTCTTCTATGATGAAACGAAAGTTGAGCTAAATTCAAAGGATCAGGTGAGTCACTTTTTATCGAACAGCACTGTATATGCATATTGTATATCTGTGTTGTGTGGGAGTAACTTATATGAGCTTGTGTCATTTAATGTAGACACATACATGCATAATTTGACCAAGTTTGAAATAAGACCTTGTAATAATACATTCTCCTAACACTTCCAATCTGGACAATCTTGCCATCAGTAAAGTGCCTGGTACTGAACTAGTAAAGATAAAATAGAAACTTTGAGCCCAATACTAAAGATTTTTTCCGAAAATTAGAAAAATATATTGTCAGTTCTTTTTAATCAAACTTGTTTGGATGAATACTTCCTGCTTAAATATAACTTTATTCATATATATATATATATATATATATATTTGGTTGGATTGATGTGAGTTGATGTTAGCAAATATTTATGATATTGAGCGCTTTTAATAATATTTTGCATATAATATATAAATAATTATATATATATATATATATATATATATAAACACACTTTTCACATTTAAAACATATATATAGATATATATATAAAGTAGAGAGAGAACAATGTAATTTTCTTTTTGAAAATATACTTTGTGTATACACAGGAATAACCTAGAAAATGGAAAAAAAATAATTTATTTTTTGTAGTGATCATGTGGGGAGGGGATTAAAGAAGAAAATGGATCAAATCTGTGTCAAATAGAAAGAGAGATAAAGAGAAATCCATGATTGGGGAAAAAGTAGTCGGTTTGCCTGGCTGCTGTCTCCTAGGAGAGGAAAGCAGGATAATGTCTTCTATTTACTACATCCTATGGTTGAGAGGCTAAAAAGAATGATGTTAATATCCTTTTCTTTTATACCGATTATTAGCACATCACCTTGCAATTGTTAAGCAAAGTCCCCTGGCTGACAAGGTTGGGTAGTCCCACAAAGTTAAGCTATATGAATATTAATATCATCTGTGTTTCATATTATCAATATTTTCTGTTTGTTTAGATAACTTACAGAGATGCTGGGAAGAAAGAAGCCAGATTATTAAGGAGGAGATGGAGGAGGGGAAAAAGGCTGCCCTCAAAGAATTCTCCAACGATGATCTTACCAACCAGGAGTTTTCTGCTGCAATTGTTCCTGTTTATAATTACAAGATTGATGACATTCTTGGATGTAAGTAATTTCTCTAAACTTTTTGAAGCTTGCTTTTTGACTTGTTGCATTCAACATCTATCTAAATTAAAATGATTTATGTGCATATATGAATAAATATATATAGTAGTCCCCAGGGCCAGTGTGTAGTACCCCCAAACCCCTGAGTGAGTGAGCATTGTTGAAAGCCCTAGTCAGTGCTTTGTGACCCTTGCTATCTTATGAACATTTGCTTTTTTCTACTGATGAATTATCAAAATATTGTTATTACGGCAGAGAAAGATAAATCTTTAATGTATTATATACATGATGTATACAAATGCAAAATCAGTAGCCAAGACCACTCAATTCATAACTGAGGAGTGATGCGTTAAAAGCAGGAGCAGCCACTGTTAAATATTTCCTTTCTCTATAGTGCTCAAACGGCAAGCGAGAGCATAAATAGTCATCCACATACAAACCTGTTTCACTGTATCACAGTTGATTAGTGTGGCTAGACAACCAATTGCTTTAAGCTGGAATTGAAACACACACACATATGTGTGTGTGTGCATGTATATGTCTGCATGTGTCTGTGTGTGTTTATATATAATAATTAGTATATATAACTGATATTTCTTTATTGTTTCTCTTGTGACAGATGGAGACACTGAAGCTTTTACTCAGAAACAAAGAACAAGATCTTCTTTGTCAAACGACAGAATCACCAAAGACATCATCAATGAATGGTACTTGAGTGTCTAAACTCAAAACCAAAAGTCTTTATTTTGGCTATTTTTAAAATCTCTGAGACTAACCATTAAAATAGATTTTGAAGCAATATTTACTTTCATCTTATTTTTCAACCTGTTTATACCTTGTAGTAGTAGTAGTAGTAGTAGTAGTAGTTAGGCTTACGGTCATATCCTGCTATATTTTAAGATTGGATATATGGGTGGTGTAATGGATAACAGCTCAGAATTGGAAATCGGGGAGCTGAGTTCCAATTCCACTTAGGTTCGCTATATTCACTTACATTTCGGAAAGGTATAAATCCACTTCTTCTCCCTACAGCTAGGTGCTAATTAGTAGGACTTTTATCAATAAATCATTATCATCGCAAAAAAATTCTTGCAACCCCAAAATATTTTCTGTCTTTAAATAACCTGCAAAGCAGTGAAAAACAAATCAAATAATCAATTCAGTAGTAGATGTAATAGTCTCAAGATTTAGGAATTTCTTAGATAAAACACTGCCATTGTTATTAATTTGGGGATAGAGTTAATTTTATCATATTTTTCAGCCTGTTAACACTTTCTGTTGTAGTGTATTATTATATGGGCACATGGCCAGTTGGTTAAGAACGTTCGCATTCTGACCATGAGACCCAGGTTTGAATCTCACCATGGTTGTTTTGTCAGGAAGGAAACTTTCTGATGTTATCAGAATGGAGAGGGGACGATCTCAGCATGTGGAACCTTTGGAAAGTGCCTGAAAACCAGACCCAAGCTTTGTGAGTGAAATTAAAGAAGAACCCTTGGGACATGTCGATATTTGCTAGTACAAAGTCACAATTTCATCGTAATGAACTTTTTTGCATTTACCAACATTTTAAATTTCTTTAAGAAATTGTCGGATATTACACGGATTAATGTTCTGAATGAAATCTTTCATGTTGTTTGGTTGATTTTGTTTAGCAGCATATCAACACCTCCATGGGTTATTTAATGCCAAAATCTAAATATTTTGAATACAATTTTATGGCTTCAACTAAATATATTTTGAACATAATTGTATGCCTTCAAATATAGATAAAATGTATTGTTGGTCATTTTGCTTTAAATATGTATTGTTGACTGGTTGATTTTCTTTAGCGGCATATCAACATCTCTATGGGTTATTTAATGCCGAATTCTAAATATTTTGAACACACTTGTATGCCTTCAACTACACATAAAATGTATTGTTGGTCATTTTGCTACAAATATGTATTGTTCGTAAATTTTTATACGAAAATATATTGCTGGTATTTTTACTATAAAAATGTATTTTTATACTTTCATAGTATTTTGTTTTTTGTTTGTGGTTTCACTATTTGCCCATAGCTGGGACCCTAACAGTTGCTACCACCCTAGGTCAGGGTGAACCTGGGAACAACAGCAATTAATAGGTAGTTCACACTCTTCAAAACCTCTGATCAGAGGCCTTGTTGATGTAGCTCATCATCATACTCATGACTAAGAAAGACAGAAGTGTTTAATGGCTGTTTCAATGAAATCAAAAAAATCAATTTCTTAAAATAAATTCATTTGTAATAATTTTTAAAAAACAACAACCAGCATTCATATTTATGAAAAGTTAAACAAAATATTTACTTAAAGTTGTTAAACTCAAATATTGTATAATTCAAATAAATTAAGGCCAAATATTTAACGATGCATAGAGGGAATTTCTATCTAATATTTTATTGCTTTAGAACTCAATGAACTTATTCAGTCATTAACTAATAATTAAATTTTTCAGAAAATTCAAATGGAGGATGGTTCCATTGAAATTTTAATATGTTTTTTTCATAAAGTATTATTTTGTAAGATTCATTTTATTCAATTTTCCATAAAGTTCAATTAAATAAATAATATTTAATATACCCTACATATCCATATTACTTATAAAATATTTATCAAAAAAAAATTTATTTATAAATCTATAAAAAAATTGAAGAATAAGAGTTTGGAATTTGCACTTCTCACCTGTGGAACTGTTGGAATTAGCATCATCCTAGCAGGGATAAATCCAAAATTGTTCATTTAAAAAAAATACAATGACGTTGGTAATTTTAAAAGCATGTTAAATTGTAAATTAAAATCATATAATTTTATTTATTTTTGTGTACTGGTGTTTGCGTATTTTAGTCATATATGCTTTAAGGTTGCATGGAATAGAGGAAGAAAGTCACTTTGTCTTATAACAAGAAAGCTGCCGAGGATAGGAGATGAATGTGTTGACATTTTGAGGGTCCGTAGTGAAGAGAGTTAGTTGGGCGTTTTTTTGTGTGAAGAATCATTTTTATAGGCAGGAAAGTTTATTAATTTGGTTTTATTTATGTTATTTGTTTTATTTTAATTTTATATGATATTTATTACTATTATTATTATTTTATATTTCTGGAGCAATTTTTATTTATTATTATTATTATTATTATTATTATTATTAAAAATTTTTAATGTGAAACAGAACTCTCTTTCAGTTTATTGAAAAAATTTGTCTTCCTAAATTCTGTTTTTTATTGTCCTTTCTCCTCACTAAAGTAAATGAAAAAAAAATTTCCAAAATTTTTTTTTTTCAAATCCCTCAGTATAAATTTTCTTTAGTGGAATTACTTTACTCAGAGTGAAATTATTTAAAAATAAGAAATAAAAAAAGGAACAATTTTTAAAATTTAATTTATTATTTCAGTGCCAAACAACTCCATGAAGAGAGCATGAAATTGCGCCAGGAATTAATGTCAAGGAAAGAAAACCAGTTTCGAAGAAGGTAAGTCACCATTTTATGTTGAACCATATGAGGTATCTTTAGTATTACTAAATTTTTTATTGTTCATTTTCATTACAGTATTTTGTTGATTGTCCGGACATCCTGGGACAACGTCCTTGGTAAAATGATAAACTACATCTGACAATGTCTTTAATCACAAAAAAAGAGTTTTTTTGAGGAGCATGAAACCACCTCTTAATTTTTAAAAAAGAACCCAGGTTCACCTTAAGAAGGGTGGTAGCACCTGTCAAGGTCCCAGCTATGGGCAAATAGTAACCCTCATAAAAAAGGGATCAAAACACGATAGAATTATAAAAATAGGTTTTAATACCAGCAATACTTTTTTGGAAAAATTATTACCAGCAGTACATTTTTGAAAAAGAAAAACATATTACCAGCAGTACATTTTTGAAAAAAAAAAATTACCAGTAATACATTTTTGAAAAAAAAAATATTACCAGCAATACATTTTTGAAAAAAATATTACCAGCAATACATTTTTGAAAAAAACTATATTACAAGCAATAAAAATCTTGTCAGAATTAAATAACCCATTGAAGTTGATATGCCATAAAACAAACCAAACAAATATATACTGAGATAGATAGATAGATAGATAGATAGATAGATAGATAGATAGATAGATAGATAGATAAAAAATATTGCCATCAATAAAAATTTTGTCGGACTTAAATAACCCATTGAGGTTGATATGCCATAAAACAAAATAAACCAAATTAAACCATTTTGGGACAGAGCTTGAAAAAATTATTTCAGATAATTAAAAATTCCGAATACCTAAATTATGGAAAATAAAAAAAAATTTGAATTTTTTTTTTTAAAATAATTCTGAGATGAGGAAATTATATTACAGACTATTTAAATTATTTGGACTATTGTCCTCATCATTGTTGATATATTTATCACGTTTCCATAGATATGATACCGGCCTTTTTCAGTTAATCAGAATCGAACTGAGTTTCAATTTCGCTTAGAAACTGATGTAGAAATTCTTTTCTATTTTAAAACATGCTATAAATAATGGATGTCAATTATCAGTTATATCCTGTTAGATAGAAAGAAGAATTTTTCCACCACCTTAACCAGGTATTGAAATTTGATATTTCTTTGGATGAGAATGTCATTGGATCTATGATAACATTTTAGATAGATAGATAAGAATAATAAATATGGCACAGAAGAACATTTTAATGATACAAAAGAACAGAAACATATGATAAATAGATAGAACTAAGATGAGGACGATAGTCTGAAAATTTAAAAATGAAGAACAGATTTTAAATATAAACATCTAAATCATCAAATATTTTTTTCAGATAATTAAGAAAGGTTAGAAATATTTATTGTTTTAAGAATTTATAGAAATTTATTTTTGTATACTTCTGGCTGGTCTCATATTTGCCTGCTGCTTAGTCTAGAATCTGGTTTAAAGTCGTTGTATTTATCTGGGTAGCTTAAATATTTATCAAACAATCATTGTTATGATGTTAGTTTTTCTTGTTAGTTTCAACTCTTCAAGCACCAAACAGCTCTCTTTTAATCGTACAAGAGAAACCATTTTACCTTCCATCTGCATGGATTTTAATGTCTAAGTTTTCCACGAGAATGCCTAAAGACTTCTCAGATTAATATTTTCAGTATTTGACATGTTGAAAAAAAAAAAGTATATTGATTTAAAATTTTGCATTAAAATAAGAAATATTTTCATTATCAAATAAGGCTTTCAAACAATTTGTTCACGGTTCTGTCCAGTTTATTTTTTATGAAAAAATGCATTAATTTTTGTTTGTTACCAGCTGGATGTTCAGATATATATATATTTATAGCATTTTATGGCCATAGCACGTGTTATATATATATATTGTTTGATATATATGTGCCTGTCTGTGTTGATGTGCATATATATAGGAAGTTGTGATATATTTTGCTCTTTTTTTTTCACTTTAATATACTGCTCATTGAGTTTTTCTAGATATTTTTTTTCGTATTTTTTACATTTTTGACTGTTGTTTTTTTGAATAGGTTTTGTTCATTGATCTAGAGATGTTTTTGATTTTTTTATAAATGGGCATTCTAGTTTAAGTTTTTTAGGAAGAAAGTATTTTTTTTTATATTTTTTTACATAAATAATTTATATTAAGAATAAGATAATAAATATATATATATATATATATATATATATATATATATATATATATATATATTGAACAATAAAAATAAAAAAATTAAAAATTAAAATCTTCAGACACACTGGGTTGTAGATTAATATTCTTTTCGTTTTTTTTTTATTATTATTTCATTTAGATTCCTCGACTAGTTTTTGGCCAAAATGGCCATCATCGGGAGAAAAATATTTCTGCTTGCTGGTAGCAGTGAACTACAGAAATGAATGTCTTGATGGAGAAAATGAACTTTTGTCTGTAGTTTTCATTTGTTTTTTTTTTTTTTTTATCTTTTTAACATGAATTTTTAACATTCCTTGTGTTGGTCAAACAGTCTCTTTTAAGTTGTTATTTGAGATAAGAGCTGGATGGATTCATACTTCTCTGAATTCTTTGGTCAGTTTGACAGTTTTATTGGTCCTGGATATTGGGGATATATATATATATATATATATATATATATATATATATATATATATAGATAGTGATATTAATGATAGATGGAAAATACATTATAAGAACACATACATACATATAAATGCATCATTATATCTTCAAAAGTATTATTTTGTTTTTTTGTTTTTAATTGGAATTTGATTAATTATAGAAGGTTAAATTTATAATTAAATAAGAAATTTATCATCATCTTGTCTTTTAAGATGAGGTATTATGATTTAGATTTTATTTTATATTGATTCAGAATTTATCCTATCTTCATTATTAATATACATAAAAATTTCATATTTTATGCTCCTTTCTTCTTCAGGTGACTGGAATTTCAAACCAAGAATTTTATTTCATCCACCAGGGTAGATTGTTCTATTTTTCATGTGCCACGCCTCTTCCAGATGTATAGTTATTTATATAGATTCTATCTCCAAGTTGTTTTGGTTCAAATTAGTTGTAGCCTGGTATTGAACTTAGATAAAAATTAGACATGGAAGATAGAATGGAGATAAGGTGTTGATTAGATGCAACGACAAATAGAAAAAGAGTTACAGATTATTTCATTGATATAAATATTAAATTTGTTAATATTATTGTTAGATTGATGTTGCTGTGGTGGTCACCATTTTCATTCAATCTTTGTTGAATTTTAATAGATAAATATTTTCCATGTTGTATGTTTTACAAAGTGTTCTATTTTTTCTGTTAGTTTGTAGTCATATAGGTTTGATGTTGGTATATTTTTATTATGAATTAGGACCAAACACAGATCAAATATAGATCAGAATCTGACAGAATGGTAGGGTAAAAAATAGGAGACATTTATCACTCTAACATGTTTCACTTTTATTAAATCTTCATCAGAGAATGAGATATGTAAAAAAAAAGAAATTCTGATACTTTTATTTTTGCGTGGCTTGATTTTCATTGATTAATAAAGTTTTCTATGTTCTTACATAGTAAAAACAGATTGAAGATAAATATATATCTATCTATATGTATATATATATATCCATTTATCTATCTGTCTGTCTGTTCATATCTATCTATCTATCTATCTATCACAATGACTTTATCTACTGATTTGTTTCATTTTAGTAGATAGATATATAGATGAAGAGACATAGATAGATAGATAGATAGATAGATAGATAGATAGATAGATAGATAGATAAAGAGAAATAAGAATTTTATATTTTTGAAAGGCAACAATTTTTTGGTTATTGTCAACTCATTTGAATCATTCTGTCATTTATCAGTATAAGCAAGTTTCACCAACTCACCATCTATCTATCTCAATGACTCTTCGTCTATCTACCTATTTGTTTGACTTTAGTAAATAAATGAAGAGACATAAATAGATAGATAGATGGATAGATAGATAGAGACTCGTAGATAGATGAATAGATATAGATAGATAGATGAATAGACATAGATAGATAGAGAGAGAGACATAGATAGATGAATAGATTTAGATAGATAGATAGATGAACAGACATAGATAGATAGATAGATAGATAGATGAACAGACATAGATAGATAGATAGATAGATAGAGAGACATAGATGAATAGACATAGATAGATAGATAGATAGATAGATAGATAGATAGATAGATAGATAGATAAATAGATAGATAGATAGATAGATAAAGAGACATAGATAGTTGAATAGACATAGATAGACAGATATATAGATAGATAGATAGATAGATATATAGATAGATAGATAGATAGATAGATAGATAGATAGATAGATAGAGAAGAATAGACTGAAATACATAGATAAGAAGAGATTGAGATAAATATTAACAGTCTAAGATAGATAGATAGATAGATAGATAGATAGATAGATAGATAGATAGATAGATAGAGAAGAATAGACTGAAATACATAGATAAGAACAGATTGAGATAAATATTAACAGTCTAAGATAGATAGATAGATAGATAGATAGATAGATAGATAGATAGAGAAGAATAGAATGAAATACATAGATAAGAAGAGATTGAGATAAATATTAACAGTCTAAGATAGATAGATAGATAGATAGATAGATAGATAGAGAAGAATAGACTGAAATACATAGATAAGAACAGATTGAGATAAATATTAACAGTCTAAGATAGATAGATAGATAGATAGATAGATAGATAGAGAAGAATAGACTGAAATACATAGATAAGAACAGATTGAGATAAATATTAATAGATAGATAGAAGATAGATAGATAGATAGATAGATAGATAGATAGATAGATAGATAAGAACAGACTGAAATATAAAGATAGATAGAAGATAGATAGATAGATAGATGAAGATAGATTGAAAAATAGAAAGAACAATTGAGATAAGATAGATAGATAGATAGATAGATAGATAGATAGATAGATAGATAGATAGATAGAGATAGAATAGACTGAAATACATAGATAAGAAAGAGATTGAGATAAATATAACAGTCTAAGATAGATAGATAGATAGATAGATAGATAGATAGATAGATAGAGATAGAGAAGAGTATAGATGAAATACATAGATAAGAACAGATTGATTGAGATAAATAAATAGATAACAGATAGATAGATAGATAGATAGATAGATAGATAGATAGATAGATAGATAACAGTTTAAGAGAAGAATAGACTGAAAATATAGATAGATAGATAAGAACAGATTGAGATAAATATTAACAGTCTAAGATAGATAGATAGATAGATAGATAGATAGATAGATAGATAGATAGAATAGATAGAGAAGAATACTGAAATACATAGATAAGAACAGATTGAGATAAATATTAACAGTCTAAGATAGATAGATAGATAGATAGATAGATAGATAGATAGATAGATAGATAAAAATAGAGAAGAAAGATGAAATAGATAGAAGATAGAGATAGATAGATTGAGATAAAGATTAACAAATATAAGATAGATAGATTGAGATAAAGATAGATAGATAGATAGATAGATAGATAGAGAGATAGATAGATAGATAGAAAGAATAGAATAGAAAACATAGATAAGAACAGATTGAGATAAATATTAACAGTAGATAGAGAAGATAGATAGAAAGATAGATAGATAGATAGATAGATATAGATAGATAGATAGATAGAGAAGAAAGAATAGATAGATAAGAATATATAGATAAGAACAGATTGAGATAATATTAACAGAAGATAGATAGATAGATAGATAGATAGATAGATAGATAGATAGATAGATAGATAGAAGAAGAGAAGAATAGAAATACATAGATAAGAACAGATTGAGATAAATATTAAAGTCTAAGATAGATAGATAGATAGATAGATAGATAGATAGATAGATAGATAGATAGAAGAATAGAATGAAATAGATAGGATAGATAAGAAGATAAGATTAGAGATAAATATTAACAGTCTAAGATAGATAGATAGATAGATAGATAGATAGATAGATAGATAGAGAAGAATAGAATGAAATACATAGATAAGAAGAGATTGAGATAAATATTAACAGTCTAAGATAGATAGATAGATAGATAGATAGATAGATAGATAGAGAAGAATAAGACTGAAATACATAGATAAGAACAGATTGAGATAAATATTAACAGTAGATAGATAGATAGATAGATAGATAGATAGATAGATAGAGAAGAATAGATGAAAGACATAGATAAGAACAGATTGAGATAAATAGATGAAGAGAAATATAGATAGATAGATAGATAGATAGATAGATAGATAGATAGATAGATAGATAGATAGATAGATAGATAGAATAGATAATAGAAGATACATAGATAAGAAGATAGATTGAGATGAAATAAATTAACAGTCTAATAGATAGATAGATAGATAGATAGATAGATAGATAGATAGAGAAGAATAGACTGAAATACATAGATAAGAACAGATTGAGATAAATAGATTAACAGTAGATAAGATAGATAGATAGATAGATAGATAGATAGATAGATAGATAGATAGATAGAGAAGAATAGAATAGACTGATAAAATACATAGATAAGAATAGATTGAGATAAATATTAACAGTGAAATAAGATAGATAGATAGATAGATAGATAGATAGATAGATAGAGAAGAGATAGATAGAATGAAATACATAGATAAGAAGAGATTGAGATAAATAACATAAGATAGATAGATAGATAGATAGATAGATAGATAGATAGATAGATAGATAGATAGAAGAATAGATAGAAATACATAGATATAGAATGAGATAGAAGAAGAGATTGAGATAAATATTTCCAAGATCTAAGATAGATAGATAGATAGATAGATAGATAGATAGATAGATAGATAGATAAGAATAGACTGAAATACATAGATAAAAAACAGATTGAGATAAATATTAACAGTCTAGAAGAAGATAGATAGATAGATAGATAGATAGATAGATAGATAGAGAAGATAGATAGAGAAGAATAGACTGAAATACAAGTTAAGAAGAAGAAGAGATTGAGATAAATAGAAAAAAGTCTAAGATAGATAGATAGATAGATAGATAGATAGATAGATAGATAGATAGATAGATAGATAGATAGAGAAGAATAGACTGAAATACATAGATAAGAAGAGATTGAGATAAATATTAACAGTAGATAGATAGATAGATAGATAGATAAAGATAGATAGATAGATAGATAGATAGAAGAATAGAGATAAGAAATACATAGATAAGAACAGATTGAGATAAATATTAACAGTCTAAGATAGATAGATAGATAGATAGATAGATAGATAGATAGATAGAGAAGAATAGACTGAAATACATAGATAAGAACAGATTGAGATAAATATTAACAGATAATAAGATAGAATGATAGATAGATAGATAGATAGATAGATAGATAGAAGATAGAGAAGAATAGACTGAAATACATAGATAAGAACAGATTGAGATAAATATTAACAGTCTAAGATAGATAGATAGATAGATAGATAGATAGATAGATAGATAGATAGATAAGAATAGACTGAAATACATAGATAAGAACAGATTGAGATAAATATTAACAGTCTAAGATAGATAGATAGATAGATAGATAGATAGATAGATAGATAGATAGAGAAGAATAGACTGAAATACATAGATAAGAACAGATTGAGATAAATATTAACAGTCTAAGATAGATAGATAGATAGATAGATAGATAGATAGATAGATAGATAGATAGAGAAGAATAGACTGAAATACATAGATAAGAACAGATTGAGATAAATATTAACAGTCTAAGATAGATAGATAGATAGATAGATAGATAGATAGATAGATAGAGAAGAATAGACTGAAATACATAGATAAGAACAGATTGAGATAAATATTAACAGTCTAAGATAGATAGATAGATAGATAGATAGATAGAGAAGAATAGACTGAAATACATAGATAAGAACAGATTGAGATAAATATTAACAGTCTAAGATAGATAGATAGATAGATAGATAGACAGACAAAGAGAAATAAGAATTTTATATTTTTGAAAGACAACAATTTTTTGGTTGTTGTCAACTCATTTGAATCACTCTGTTATTTATTAGTGTAAGGATGCTTCACCAACCCGCCATTAAAGATTAAAATGTTCAATATTGTGTAGCTTTCAGTCCTACATCTCATAACTACAAAACTTTCCTGCCCTCTAAACACTTCACATTAATCCTATTCAATTGCTGCCTCCTTTTAACCATCTGCAGCATGGCAAGATAATCCTCTTGATTTATTCAATAAAAACATCCTCGAACTCTCCATGATTGGAGGGATTATTCTCTGCTGGATTGCATAATCTATCACTTACCATCAGATCACCTAAAATGAGCGGATAGATGTGAGAATCAATATCCTTCTTGATGTCTGTCTGGGCAGGTAGATAGCAATTTATCTATCAATTTAGTCAAGATAGTGACAGGCACTTTTTGTGGTGGTTCATATTGAACAAGGTTACCTATGGACGCCAAGATTTGAATCTCTTTCATGAAGCAGATAGTAATTTCTTTAGCCATGGGGATATTGATAACGTCTGAAGAATCTTCTGGTACAAGCACTCCCATGGATAAGAATGAAAGCGATGAATCGATACCTGAATGGTAGGAACATCTTTTTTTTTACCATATTTTTTGCATATCTACCATTCTTCTTTTTAGTTTATTCACATGTTTTTAGATCATTACATTTCTGGCATTAAACTGATAGATTATTCCCAAAAGGATATGTGGACATTTTTATGATGATATTTTAATTTTAATTTTTCTTAGATGAAGCATTATTTTTGCTTGGTTTATTTAAAGGAATATTAACTCTTTATGGGTCATTTAATGCCGAAATTTAATTTTCTTGGGAGCTTTGGTAATCCTCCTCCACAAAAAAATGTCTTGCTGGTAATTTTTTCTTGTGTATTTTTATATTTTCATGTTATCACCCCAGTCTGTGTTTTCATTATTTTCCCATAGTTGGGACCGGAACAGGTGCTGCCATCCCGAGTCAGGGTGGATCTGGGAACAACAGTAATTAAGAGGTTGTTCTACATTCCTCAAAAGCTGATCAAAGGCCCTGATGCCAGATGTAGTTTATGATGAAGCATTGTCAGCCATCAATAATTTTTGACTTATATTTCTTTCATCTTAGTTTCATTTGAAAGTACTTGGATCATCATTCTGTTATTATTTAAAAATTTTTTTAAAACCATTATTCATTTTTCACTAGGATTTCTTTCATCTTCATTTCAATTGTTTTATTTCCACTAGTAGTTTCTACACACTCTATGTTCAGAATAGAAAACACTTGTTCGAACACAAGAAAAGTTAAATAAAAAGCTTAAATCTTATATATATATGTATGTGGAGCAGTTTTATTTATATTACAATGAATCATTCATACAAAAAGTAAATTTGTAAAGTTAATGATATAAAATGGTGAAATCCCTTCACTAACAAAATTTTAAAAATGCATTAACTCACTAACCACTCGATGAATGTTATGATCCTTGTTTTTTAAAATTATAATCTGTATTAGATCTTCCTTAAATATGCAAGTACTTTCAATGGGTTCTCTGTATATATATATAAAGAATATAGTAAAATAAAAATTAAAAAGGAGAATATTTCAAATCGTAGTTAAATAAAAAGTATTAGAAAAAAAAAAAAAAAAAAAAAACCCGAAAATCTTTAAATTTAAAAAATGACATTGAAAATTTTTTTACCGTTAACAATTTTTTTAAAAAAAATTCAGACGACATCCATTCAACTGATGTCAGGTTTCATTGTAAAATACATCCCTACCCCTTACCAAATTGTAGCTAATAACCGATAAAATGATACTGACATAAGGAAAATCTTGACACCCCTTGTTCAATTTAAGTAGAATATTCTGTAACCATGGAAATGTGATTTTAGCTGTGTCTTTAAAAACCCGGTAATTTTTAAAAGTTACTCCAAAATTCGCTTGAAGATGAAATGGAACTAATGCTTTTAATTTAATTGCAAAATTAAATTCGGGGTTTTTAGCTTCTATTTTTGAAACATGGTTGGAACTGTGTAGCGAAAAAAAACCATATTTTAAATCAATTAATTTATAATATTAATGCTCTGTAAATTTACATTGAGCACTATTTTGTAAAAATAAAAATATCTATAAGAACACCGGATTTTATATCTTACTGTTCTTTCTTTTTATTTATATACATATATATATATATATATATATATATAGATAAACCTATATAAGTTTCAACAATGCAGATCATCAGGGTAGGTGAAACCTAGGTATATTTGCCTGGCTCTTTAGGTTCATAGTTAGCCTTGACAGGTTCATAGATTTGCTCTACTTAGTGTATTGAGCAAAGGGACTTAGTTATTTTTATTTTATTATCGTGTTTGGAGGTTTTTTTCTTTGGACTCTGAGCTTGGATTCTGGTCAGTTGTTTTTTCTGAATTACATGTTCTTTCTTCTTTACAATTTAAATATTAAATATTTTTCTTTGGGTATTGGTTCATGAATTTACAAACCAAAACAGCTAAGGTTTTTCTGGATGAGTATACTTACTTATATTTATAAGATTATTATATATATATATATATATATATATATATTTATATATATATATGTTTGGGTACTTTGATATGGTGTAATGCTTAGCAAGCTTGTTTCACTAGATCAATTGTGACTGAGTAGTGAAATTGATCCTCACTGGGTGTCACATCACAACTAAGTATGTTTAGTGAATCACTATACATATATATGTGTGCGTGTGTGTGTGTGCGTGTCTGTTTGTAAGTGTGTGCGTGTTAGTAAGATATAGAATCTGAACAAAAGTGGAGAAATCTGACAAAGTGGCAGACTTTTTTATTGGCAATGCACTTTGCCTCCATTAGGTAGGTATCTTCAGGAAAAAATGAAAGACAAATTTATGTTTTTTTTATATTATTTTTTTTTTAAAGATTATATATGATTAACAGTTTTAATACAAAAACAAAAACACACCCAGGATTCATTTTCACCTGAAGACAGCCTACCTAATGAAGACAAACACATTGTCAATAAAAAGGCTTTCCACTTTTTCTGAATATGTATGTGTGAATGCAAGTTCCTATGTTTACCATCATTTCTTTTATGATAGCTATTATCATTATTATTATTATTATTATTATTATTATTATTATTATTATTATCATTATTATAATTATTATTATCATTATTATTTTTATTTTCTTTGATTTCTGGCATTTACACATTTCTTTCCATGTTCCGCCCAGGGACCTAAGGTTAAAAATGGCATCATGACATTTTTCACTGACAAAAAAAAATCATTATTAGTAGTAGTAGTATTATCATTATTATCATTATCATTATCATTATTAATATCCTCATTATTATTATTAATAATATCATTATTATTATTATTATTATTTCCTTTGATTTCTGGTGTATACTCATTTCTTTCTTGGTTCCAACCAGAGACCTAAGGTCAGAAATGGCATCATGACATTTTTCACTGACAAAAAAAAAAATCATTATTAGTAGTAGTAGTATTATCATTATTATCATTATCATTATCATTATTAATATCCTCATTATTATTATTAATAATATCATTATTATTATTATTATTATTATTTCCTTTGATTTCTGGTGTATACTCATTTCTTTCTTGGTTCCAACCAGAGACCTAAGGTCAGAAATTGCATCATGACATTTTCTACTGAGCATTTTTTGAAAAAAAAAACAAACCTAAGATCACACACATTTTTGTATTTCTTTAAGGCATGGGCTACCAGGAATCTCTTAATCAAGTCTATCAGAACCTTTTCCAATCAATCCAAGGGCTCCAACTACAGCTAGAATTATTGATGTCCTCATGTGCCACATTTCTAAGATTTCCATTTCTAGATTTTTGTATTTTGATAGATTTTTGAAGATCTTCAAAGATACTTTACAGTCTGCAGGGACTGCTATGTTAAAAAAGAAAGCACATTCTGTTTTGTTGTCCCTGATCATGATGTCTAGGTGACTAGCTTTTATTATTCTGTCTGGATGTATTGTAAGGTCTCATAAAATTGCTACAGGTCCTATGTCTGTAACCAGGTCTGAGTGGTGTTCGTACTAATTTCTTGTCGTTACCTTTCCATAAATGTTGCATATTTCAAGTGCAGATATTGACCCACTCTGCCATGCCGAGTTTTATATTCAGTGGCTGCCAATCATTATTATTTTATTATTATTTAATCCTTTTCATCTTATATTCATCTTCTTGTACCCAAATTCCTATTAAAATCTAAACTTATAAATAAAGTTGTTGCAAGTGTAAAAAAGAAAGCTTTATTCAACTGAGAATACAAGGCTCGTGTATAGTGTCCTTTTTAGTACCGATAAACAGAAATAGTTCTCTCAAACAGGAAAGTAACAAAACAAGGGGAGACCACTCTTGATTATTGATACCAACACTAACAAGACAAAGTTTAAAAGAGTTTTCAGCCCCACACTTCACTATGTTTGGCACCATATGATAGGAGCAAGAAACAAGAATCAGGTGTAGCAGAGCCCATAAAAAATCTTAATCAGGTGCTATGGCTAAAGGATTGGTTGTTCTTGGACTGAAGCCAGTACTACCCATTGGATTTGAAAGTTAGCCTTATAAAAAAAATATCTATACAATAACAAGTACTGAAGAAGGCAACAAGAGTGGCTGAAAATTTTAGTAACTTCCAAAAACTTTAGCATGCTTCCACATGTCAACTAAATAAAACTTTAAAATACACAAAGAATATCTTCATCACTTAATATTGTTGAAAGCTCCTTTGAGTCCTGACTACCGCTTTAGGGAAAAATGATGTAATGCTCAGCCACCAATTGAACAGTGGGTAAATACTTGTAACTATTTTTATATCTACTGTGAAACATTACATTCATTTGGAAATTTTGACTCAGGAGCTCAAGCAGAATGGTTAAAATTGTTCAGGAATGTAGAGATCAAAGGATTAAAATTGTTCGGGCTCAAAGGATTAAGAGTGAACTGAACAATTACAAAAAAGTTAATGTAGAAAAGTCTAACAGTTGAGGTGCTGAATATAACATCAATCAGCTAAGTGACAAATTTCCTATTTGCATTAATCCTTATATAAATATATATATATATATATATATATATATATATATATATACATATTGTTGAATTTCTCAGAATGATTCTGAAGATATGACAATTTGGATAAAATGAAGACAATTGTAAAATATATATCTTAGTCATTGCTGATGTGTTTCATCAATACAACTTTATCAAGGTAAGTTTAAAAGCGAAATGTTTTT